TGGTTGGTTGGTTGGTTAGTGGGTTGGTTGGTTGGTTGGTAGTTTGGTTGGTTGGTTGGTTGGTTGGTTGGTTGGTTGGTTGGTTGGATGTTTGAGATGTGGACTTAACGGCAGTATCGCCACAAAGAAATAAATGTTTATTCATAATTTAAGATTATGACTGAATGTAAAATAGACCACATCGATCTGATTGTACACAATTTGTTAGATGTAACTTGAGAAATCTCTGACTGTTGGCCTCCCTGACAGAAGTCGCTCTGTCTCGTCATACATTTAATATGTGAATAGGGTGCTGTAAAAGAAAACTAGCATATTTGCCCACTGAAAATAGAATATGGATTATAAGTAAATGAAAAACGATTATTATATTTCTCTCCCATACCTGTGGTGTGGTGTGGTGTGAAACAAAACAATAACACTGCCCTTTGGACATTGAACTGCCAGTTAATGGACAATGTACCAAGGTACAAAGTACATGGGGGAGGAGCTTAGAACAAAGGAGCACACTGACATGTGACGACCAGTGATTTGATCAGCTCACTGGTATTGTTTGGGGTTGCAGGTAGCAACGTTTGTTTGTATAGTCTGGAAAGCTAACTTAGTCAAGGGCACAGTGAAATTTCAAGCACAGGTGACTTGCTGCAAATCAAGAAAGCACCACTTGGAGTGGGGCCATGTTGTCATTACTAGCAGTTTTGATCTTCCTCTCTGCATCACTAGCAGGTAAGAAAATATTCCCAACTTTGTTCAACATCAAGATAACAGCATGTGATGTACTTTCATTTCCACTCTTCTCGGGTGCCATTATGGATGGTTCAGTGTGTACATGTACATGTGGGCAATCGATTCTGACTTTTTCCGCTCATTTTCTGCGGGGGTTCCTCTGATAGGACGTAAAATGGAGGTCCCATGTTTGAGGAGAGCATTGTCATTCATAAAACTTATAGTTGCTGTGGCCTGATCATGATACAAATTTACACAGAACCACAGCCTGATGTCTTTACCATTTGCGAGAAGCTGTCATCGTCCCAATGTCGAGTGCGGACAAGGCAGTTTGTCTCCAGCTCACCTGTCGTCGTCAAGTATTTTCTCCAAACACGTCAAAACATAGGAAGGCCGAGAATTCTGCAGGGTATCAATCCTGACCTGAGTGGCACCCCCTTCCGCAGCGACCGCCCAACCAAGTTTATCATTCATGGGTTCAACAATGATGGTCATGCTCAGTGGATTAGGGACATTGCCGAACAACTGCTGAAAGCGGTGAGCTGGCTGTGTGTATATATATAATCCACCGATTATATATATATATATATATATATATATATATATATATATATATATATATATATATATATATATATATATATATATACAGATACATATACATATACATATACATATACATATACATATACATATACATATATATATATATATATATATATATATATATATATATATATATACAATATATATAAATCAATCCATTTATCAATCACTCAATCAATAAAACACCTAATCAATGGTCTACCAGTAGTGATATCAATTTCATTGATATGGTAAGCAATTTTTTGGATTGAAGTTTTCAACTTTGAATTTTCTTCTCCATTCAAATTATTATCTATTTTATTTTGATGAAAAGGTTGTATAGCATCATATGGGTGAAACAAGCTTTATAATATCAAAAGTAGATAATGTTTTCCAAACACTTCTCTCTTTGCAGGAGGATCTGAACGTATTTGGAGTGGACTGGCAGAAAGGAGCTAGCCCGTTAGGTGGAGTCAATTATGTCAAGGCAAAGAAGAACTGCCAGAAGGTTGGGCAGGTGGGTGGATCTGTTCCTTCCGTGGTCCATGTATTTGGTGGATATAATAATTATATAATAATTGTCTTTCACAACAGGGTTAACATTATGCCACTGACATTTTCAGGCCTGGGCAACTATGTTTTCAGTCACCCTATGGTCCTAATGGTCATCTTTGAATGATTTTATAATTTAGTGTCAGCTTTCACAAGCTCTCGGCCAGGAGTTACTGAAGTTAGAGGCAAATCTAAGTTCTTGGATATGTGGAGACTATCCAGCACTGTGCCTGATCCTGTTACATGTGTAAATCCTAACTCATTTGGCATAGAAGTAGATAGGTACGGATCTGGATACGATACTCCACACTGCCACACATACACAATTATAATAAAAGCTCCAATGCTCAAACCAAGACGGCGACTACAAAGCCACAACGGCTTCCATTGGCATTGATAATTTTTTCTATGATTATTACAGACTGTTGGAAACTTTGTGCGCCAGCTGGGACAACCCGGAAGTATGATCCACATCATCGGTCATAGCCTCGGAGCTCATGCCGCAGGGTTTGCTGGGAAGACTACACGGTCGGCAGGATTCACAATTGCACGAATCTCCGGTATTTTTCATGTTGTTGATATTATAATTTTGTGTTTGAATCATGTGTTGGAGTTTGTCAATGTCAATGTGTTGGAGTTTGAAAACCATGTCAGTCATCTGACTGATGATATTGAAAAAAAGATGACACTTGGCAATATTTGTCAAAGAAGCTGAGCTACCGACTCTTTATTTGAACAGAACAGAATAATTTCATTGCCTTCTGAAAGTTGGCTTTAGTGCTTAGCTGTTTTGGCTTATTACGTGCTGTTATTACGCCATTCCATCAGGCTTAGACCCAGCAGGGCCCCTTTTCAAGATCTCTCGCCCCACGAAGAGGTTGGACAAGGGTGACGCCACGTTTGTTGACGTCATCCACACAGATACTAAAATGTATGGGAAACGAAAGCCACTCGGACATGTTGACTTCTACCCAAACGAAGGATGGAACCAACCTGGGTGTGGATGTGAGTCTTTCTAAAGTTAGCAAAATACCATGATAATGATTGATTATCTCTGGCATGATTCTTTTTAGACAATCAGTCAAACTCACTCATGCTTTCTGAATCGTTGCTTCCAGGAGAAACCATACATTGGCATGTGGATCTTTTTAGCCTGGAGTCCAGCCCTAGGCCTGTTAGCCCAGGCATCTTGGGGAGCGGACTAAAGCTAACAAGGCTGGACTCCAGGCTAGGATATTTTTTTTATGTAACTTTGTAAACCATTGAATCACCAAAACCTCAATGTAGTTATTTATGGATGCTTCTTGGACCTCTTTGTAGATAGGCTATTGGGCTGCAGCCATCGTCGGGCTTATGAATTGTATAACGAGTCCATCAACTCAGCTTGCCAGTTCCTGGCTTACCGCTGTCCGGACTGGGACAGTTTCATCAGAAACCACTCACTGGGGCAATGTGACGTTTGTGACCATAGCGGTCTAAATGGGTAAGGTTTAATTTACGTACCAAGAAGATTTCTTTAAAACATTAAATTTTTTTTATGTGTTTAAAATTTGTTTTTATTCATCAACATAGCTCAAGAGTCAATGGATGGTATGCCTTGGGTGGTATAAGGTCAACAGGAATGTTAGCTGTATTAAAGGAGTACTAAAAGGCCAGAAGGGAGTGCGATTAATATTTCAACAGACATTAATTTTTGGAAGTGAAAAATGCATATTTCTGTACAGTGTACAGTTGAATACAAGTTATGTGCCCAAGTCTTAAAACACATCGAATCCAGGATAAACTCCCAAAATACCCTTTAAACTATCCCAGAATGCATAATGTGCTACCCATTGGTGTCTATGTATTGACCAAGAAAGCTATGTTACAGACTTAATTTTGGGGGCGATAAGAAAAAAATTGTTTTGTTTTGTGTTATTTTAACAATAATTGGCGTCCTTATCGCCCCTTTAATATTTATGCTGAAAATATGGACATTAAAAAAATTGGCGTAATGTAATTATATTTTCAATTAGCGGTGTAATCTAATTATTTGTTTAATAAAGATTTACATACAAATGGGAAACTTCAAAGCTACATTAGACATCCTGATATCATCCAAGCTAGAAGTCGAGCAAAGTAAAGTAAGTAAGTTTTCAATAATTAGCTCAATAAATAAATCAAAAATGTTTATATTGACTTGAAATGTTTGAATATTGTCCAATCCAAAGTTCCCAGATGTATCAATTGTGGTTCACCATGGGGGAAAATGATATTGATATCGCCTTACAAACATGTGTCGTGCAAGTCGTACACGCGAAATTATGTAAAAAGTTGGCTAGTTATGTATTCATTAAAGCATAATCTATCGGAAAATAGCACTCTCTTCTGGCCTTTAGTACTCCATTAACTGTGTTATTGTATGAAACATTGTGTAATACCAGTGAGATTAGTTGCATCATTATCATATTTGTATATTATGAGATATGAGTAACAATCTATTCTATAATGTAATTCAATTGGGTATTCATTTTAGATTATACAATTCATTTCCAATACAAGTGTCATTCTAAAAAACCCAAATCTCTACCTAAAAGTCTGATATCTCAAATTTCTTGTTTAAGTTGAGACACAACATGTTTTGTTTCCTTTCTTTCACAGTGCCTGCTCAGTAATGGGGTATCCTGCCATCAACTATACGGATTCACAAGGCAGCATGTACCTGGAGACAAATCCAGACCCTCCCCCCCACTGTCGTAAGGAACTTTTTTTTCTTCAAATATCAATCTCTTTCTATTTCATCTTTTCAGTAAGAGCTCAAGATTAATAAGTTACCTATTCACCTATTATTCAAAGTAAACTCCAAGAGTTGCCGTGCAGTGATGGAAGTGAACTTTATTCTTGTATAAACAAGTTCTCATTCAGTCCTAACAGTGTGCATTCCAAAGATACAAACCCCATAAATGGTACGTACCCAAATCCTTCTGTCCCAAAAGTAATTAATGTGTAATATAATAATTATATAATAATTATTGTATTTTACACCAGTGTCATCGACCAGTAGACGACAGAGCATGCGCACTACGCAGTGCTTGCAGTCCCTGGGGGCAGACATGCGGCAGCAGATATGGGACTATGTGGACTCCATCGCCGACATAAAGGAGATGGGAGATTTGCAGGATTTCTGCAGGTCCTAAAATTCTTCTTTTTTTAATTTTATTTTTGTTTGCCTCAGTCTGCTTGTTACCATCTGGTGTTGTAGTGATGAGTTTGAGTTGTACTTTTCTTTCTGCGATGTGTTCTGGTAGAGAGTCCTTAACTAATATGTGTCTTACTATTCAGTGCCATCTACAAAAATATATAGACTGCCCCCAATCTTCCTCAAGTTGTATTCTAGGGTTGCTGCAGGCTGGTTTGCTGGCTTTCTAAGTTATACATGTACCCATCGAGATGTCCAAGTCCTATCTCAGTAACTTTAATATGCTTTTGAGAAGTTGACCCCGTATAGTTGAGTAAATGTTTACAGTTGGTTACTGACAAAGTTGTCTTATATACTTTTTCACAGTTTGTATTCGGAAATGGGGACTGTTGTGCTCAACATCACAGCACCGATGCCCAACTGCGGGCTAGAGGATATCCCTGTTATCCTGGAGTACATAGGAGGTACACCATGTCAATTATTATGAATACTGTGGCCCACAAAGACAACTTTTAATGAAACTTTTTAAAAGTACTTGTGGGCCACAGTACAGGAGCAGATTGGAAA